GAAGGTCGGGCCCAGTGGGTAGTGAGCAACGGCTCAATGTCAGGATGGCGGTCGGTTTCTTAGCGTAGTGCCCCACTGTTAGGTTCTAGGACCGGTTTTGTTCAACATCTTTATTAATGACCTGGATGAGGGAATGGATTGCACCCTCAGCAAGTTTGCGGATGACACTGAGCTAGGGGGACAGGAAGATACGCTGGAGGGCAGGGATAGGGTCCAGAGTGACCTGGACAGATTAGAGGATTGGGCCACAAGAAATCTGATGAGGTTCAACAAGAACAAGTGTAGAATCCTACACTTGGGACGGAAGAATCCCAAGCATTGGTATAGACTGGGGACCGACTGGCTAAGTAGCAGTTCTGCAGAAAAGGACCTGGGGATTACAGTGGATGAGAAACTAGGTATGAGTCAACAGTGTGCCCTTGAAGCCAAGAAGGCTAATGGCATATTAGGGTGCATTAAGAGGAGCATTGCCAGTAGATCCAGAGATGTGATTATTCCTCTTTATGCGGCTCTGGTGAGGCCACATCTGGAGTGTTGTGTCCAGTTCTGGGCCCCCAATTACAGGAAGGATGTGGGTGCATTGGAGAGGGTCCAGTGGCATGTGACCAAAATGATTAGGGGCTGGAGCATATGACCTTTAAGGAGAGGCTGAGGGACTTGGGTCTATTTAATCTGCAGAAAAGGAGAGTGAGGGGGGATTTGATAGCAGCCTTCAGCTTCCTTAAGGGAGGTTCGAAACAGGCTGGAGAAAGGCTGTTCACAGTAGTGATGGATGGCAAAACAAGGAGCAATGGTCTCAAGTTGTGGTGGGAGAGGTCCAGGTTGGATATTAGGAAAAACTATTTTACCAGGAGGGTGGTGAAGTACTGGGATGGGTTCCCTAGGGAAGTAGTGGAGTCTCCATCCCTAGAGGTGTTTAAGTCTTGGCTTGACAAAGCCCTGGCTGAGTTGATTTAATTGGGATTGGTCCTGTCTTGGGCAGGGGGCTGGACTTGATGGCCTTCTGAGGTCTCTTCCAGCTCTATGGTTCATATCATTTAAGCTAGATTCTAGGTTGACCAAAAATAATGCCATGAAACTGAAGTGTGTGATTTTTTTGTATATGGTGGATCAGTGTCTTTTATCTAGCTCTCTTTTTGGAGTCACCATTTTCTCTTTGGCTAAAGTATCTGCTGCAAAAATAACTTGACATTGATGGAAACATGACTAAAATTACTGAAAGGTTTTTGAACTATGAATTAAATTAAATTATTCAGGCCAGTTTTCTCAGTCAAACAATAGTACATTCACCTTTAAACCTCAGACAAATGGTTAACCAATAAGTCTCACCTTAACTGTGTGAGGCATATCTGTTCCGATTAATTGGATAAATTTAATACCATACTCCTGTATATCCTTATCTACTTGAATATTTTGCTAACTTATTCTTGCTATGATATTTCACTAAAATTATGAGTAGTTCACTATCATTAATGTTCTTATATTAATTGTTAAGCTAGCCTTTTCTAACTTTTCAGGGCTTGGCTTTCCTTTAATCAGTTAACTGGATAAACATTGTTTAACCAATTAAACAGAATTTTACATCCCTACTTTTAATTGCATTTGAGAAACTAAATATATTCTTTCATCAGCAGCATCCTGTCTGGTATTTTGGAGAATGTTTTCTGGCCCCTTCTTTTTAGTTTTAGGTCCCATCTTCCTCAGCTTCCGGTTTATCAGGCAGAATAGAAGGTCAATAGTACTGAATTAATAGGGGGGTTAACACTATATTCCTAATCGTTGTCACTTGTCTATATGCATTAACCTTACTGCCAGGTTTACATGGGCATAGTTGCTATGCACGAAACTGGTTCTTTGAAACCTATATGAGCAGAAAGTAGAATATATACATAGGGCATTGGGCAATATTAGAGTCATAGTATTTTTAAAATAATGATTTTCATGATTTCAGCTATTTAAATCTGAAATTTTATAATGTAATGTAAGGGTCCTGACCCAAAAAGGAGGGGGTGGGGGGGTCACAAGGATATTGTATTACAGTATTGCTGTCCTTACTTCTACACTGATGCTGGTAGTGGTACTGGTTTCAGAGCTGGGCACCTAGAGAACAGTGGCAGCGGGGTGAAAGCTCAACTCTAAAGGCAGAGCCACCACCAGGAGTAGTGCAGAATTACTTGCGTATGGCATGGTATGGAATAGGGGTGCAAGCGAGTGGTCAAGTACCTGACTACCTGATAAGGCTAAGCCTATCAGACAGTCGAGTTGAGTACTCGATTACTCACTTCTCTCCCCCCTTGCTGCCTCTGTATCAGGGGGCAGCAAGGAGGGGGGAAACAAGAGCCGGTACTGGGGGGAGCTGGCTTAAAAGCCATCTCTGCAGTTCTGTCTCCACTCCTCCCCTGCTGCTGCCTCTATCAGGGAGCTGCCCACCTCCTTCCCCCCGAGCACAGCCTCTGTCAGCAGCCAGCACGGGCCACCAAAAACAGGGGCTGCCGGACCT